TAGAATTTTATTATCTGTCGCTACGTTTTTAACGTGGAAATAGCTTCCCTTTGTTTATCAAAAGGATTTCTTTTGTTTTTTACTATAAATGTAATAAAAGTGATTTATGTTTTAATGTTTAATGTATTTCGAAAATTCGAAGTATCCTTTTGACAGCATTCACACTAATAACAGTACGTAACTCTCACAGTCCCACTAAAAATGCATTGGTAAGTGTTGCTCCACGACCTATTTGTTTAAAGAGTGGATGGAAATTACAATTACTTATAAAGTAAATGCTCTTAATTTCCTCGTAATTCGTGCACAATATTTAATATGAATAAGATAATCCAATAGGGGTTTACAGTATAGTATAGATTTTTTGGACAGTAAAACTTTATTTAAAAATAGTAACTGATTAGAAAGAAAATAATGAAAATGTACTGTATCGGTGGTGTATTAAAAACGTAACGAAGCTCTGGATAGGACACATAGGAAATTATTTTGTAAAGTACAGTTGTAACTGGGAATTATACTAATTTACAGTTGTAACTGGGAATTAGTTTATAATTTACAGTTGTAATTGGGAATTACACTAATTTACAGTTGTAACTGGGAATTATGCTAATTTACAGTTGTAACTGGGAATTATACTAAACTAATTTACAGTTGTAACTGGGAATTAGTTTATAATTTACAGTTGTAATTGTCAATTACACTAATTTACAGTTGTAACTGGGAATTATACTAATTTACAGTTGTAACTGGGAATTATCCTTGACAGTAAGTTACAACGGCAAATTAGTTTAATTCCCAGTTACAACTGTAAATTATAAACCAATTCCTAGTTACAACTGTAAATTAGTATAATTCCCAGTTACAACTGTAAATTAGCATAATTCCCAGTTACAACTGTAAATTAGTGTAATTCCCAGTTACAACTGTAATTTACAAAATAATTTCCTATGTGTCCTATCCAGAGCTTCGTAAAAACGAGATGATTGTGACGGACTCTATGACGAAATAAGCCCGACCAATCAGCTCTAGAACCATTCAGATAACATCACTACTTGGCAATATTGCAGGAGAATTAACAATTAATTACTGCCCTTTTAGACGTATTTTTTTCAAACATCTAATTTCAAAAAATGTGCAAATTCTCTATTGAATCATGTTAATCTGGATTTTTGCAGGCTCTAAAATTTAGGATTGTGATATCAAAAACTCCTGAATATTAAATGTCAATCTGCTAATGAATGTGCTAACTTCTGGGTTGCAAATTGCAATAGTAAAATAGAAACCTAGCTTTCGTTTCATCATACCAAATTCTGCAACCAATCGTTTATGTTGGCAATTGTGAGCACTCGTACAAAAAAACATTAAAATTTGAATCGTTAGCACTTGTTAACGCAACTTGAAACCTAGACCAGTCTTCTTTGCCATATTTTACAACAAAAAAATGAAAAATTCAATGCGTAAGCTGTCTGTAGTTTATTTTAATGTTAGTTTACGGTAGCGTAATTAATACAGTTATCAATAAGCATTTGCGTCAGCAATACGACACTGTACAAGTTGATAAAGGTTATGTCCACAAATGATGATCTGGAAATTGTCCCTGCTGTTTCATTATTACCATTGAATAATAAATACGCAAAAGGCAACCTTTAGATAAGTCAAAATGCTACGGTCTGAATGTAAACTTGAAAAACTTTACCGGACGTACTATCACAGATTTAAATATACTTTAACTCTGTGGTACTATATACTTACAATGTAAATTGCATTCTACACACTAGACCCGATTACTGATACCAAAAGCACAATTAATCACTATAGTCACTTTGATAACAAATCATCGGTATTTACCTTACCTTGTTTATGTTGTTAAGTGTATGAAATATGTGATTATTATTAATCTTTGTTTTTGTGGGAGCTAATCTTCTTAACGATGGGCAACCCAAATCCATTAAAGCAAAAATCTATTACAAAAACCGATAATTTCATTGCAAAGGTGAATATACCTAATTAGCGCAGATTAGAAACACCGTCATTAACAATATTATTATTGTTATTCAAACTATGATCCTTACAATTCATTTTGACTAATGGGTTTGTCATACTTAGTCCTTTTGTGTACGTTAGATTATATGCAAATTAGTTTTGGGAATACTTCAATAATTATCTAATTTTGTTCTTTGTAACTTAATTGACCTAAATTATCCCAAATCGTTCCTTGACGGTTTAATGTAGGAATGTACCCAATGGAAATCGAAAAAATATAACGTTTGATGAAAATTATCACTGAAAAATTCCCACATTTTCTCCCAAATTCCATGACAAACAAAATTAACAACGATGTTGAACTTTCGTATGCATATAAGTATACAGGATGCGTTTTTTCGAAATTTATAGATGGAGAACTCGAAAATTAGCGGAGATAGAGAGACAATTAAATAGAGAAGTTTACGAGCATAATTTAAGGCACTCTTTACTTTTTGTAAAAAAAAAGGCCCGGTTAATAACGAAAACAATTTCTATTCCTTGATATTTCTATACTCACATGTAGCTGTATGTTATGGACTTTAGCAAAAAAAATTTAAAAAATTATTATATTACCATCAGTAAGATCATGTCGGGGGCTACCACATTCCCTTTGACGGTACCCACTTCCGACGTCCCGTTCACCCGCAATTCGCGTTTGAAGATTTTTCTCCACCATCAGTTAGATCTTGTCGGAGGCTACCACATTTCCTTTTTCAATGCATACTTATACCACATTTTGGTGGATCTCGCTAAAAACCTTCCACAAGATAGTACCTAATTTTTGGGGGGCACTTCTCATTGCTCGAGCTTCTGTTGACGACACGAGAAAGAGAGACAGCCATTCGAGATTTACGAAACGTTAAAACGCGTGACAGAATTCGCAACGGAAGGTAAAAGGTGCCCGAAGTTGACTACCTCTCGAAGACGCGCGCGCGCGCCTTGCAAAAGGTCGTTAATTTCGCCCCTAGGCCAAAAAACAAAATTCCGCCACGCAGGAGTTGTGCGCGTTTACAACATCTTTCCGACAACACCAATTTGAAAAGAATCGGACCAAAACTGTAGTAGAAGATAGGAAAAAACTGAAAAACCTTCACGTTAGTATACTACGCTCGAGGACGACGCCCAGATGTCGCCAACCCCACATCATGTAGCCCTGTCCCCAAGGTTTACAAATTACACGGCCTTGTAGATACACGTAAACCCGTTGCCTTTCTACAAGAGTTCTTCTACGCGCCCACATTTGCTGCCAGCCAGCCGACCAGCCAGCCAAAGTGAGATTAAAAGCTACCTTTTACAAATAAATTTGCAAAAATGCGCTAAAAAGTAAGGGAAGAAGTTCTAGGGAAATGCAGTGTACCAGAATTTTTCACGTCAATCACGTGATCTTTGAGTTACATAACAAACTTAGGTCTATTCTAACGATATTCCATATCTAATTAATGATTAAGTTTTTTTTATTTTCCTTCTATAAAGCAGGTTATGGAAATATTGATTTATAAATCTTTTCCGTTGCTAATACTTGAAAGGTGCGGAAATGGATGTTTATATAAATGACTTACATTGCGACCTATTCAAGTGATTTTTTAAAAATAATTCTATTTAAATCAAGGATATTACCGCTGATGGAAAAATTAAAAATTCTTAACAGTAACATAATCATACACAATATAAGATACTTATTATCCATAGCGCTCAACTAAAATTCGCAGGCACCCTCGCTAATAAATCATTTTCTCTAAAATCTACAAAAATTCCAAAATTACATTTAAATTGGAAAAAATTTAAGTTCATTTTCACGCCTTATGTTCCATACACTTCCTTACAAACTTTTAATGGCACATGGGTATGCGTCTTTCCTGGAGAAAGCTAACCCTAATATACCTTGATTTATGATATCATATAGGCTGGTCCGACAATTTGAGACCCTATCTATAACATACCAACATACCAAAGTTGAGCTAAAAAATTGAGAACGTGAAAAATGGATTTAAATGATGCGAACACTAAAAAGGCTTCAAATGCATTGTAAATGTTCCTTTAACTAATTGCATACAGGGCATTCCAGTTAAAATGAGTCGCCCTGAGTAAGTCAGCTGATTTTGACACTGCAAAAAAATAGTTTCCTTCAGGGGGAGGACTTGACAGTTAGTAAAAAGTTGACGTGTTTCACGTGTTTTTTACAGTCTCACTATCAAACGTTTTAACTGGATCGCACTCTAGGTATACAGTGGTACATAATTTATTGGATTTAACTTATGTAATCGCACATGATAAAATAGATTCAGATATATTTTAATTGCGAATTTGATTCACCAATAGAGTGATGAATTGGCAATTGGGACATTTTCAAAACAAATATTTTTCAATTATGAATGGTGAATTAAATTCTTTGTCCATTCTCCAATAGCCTCTAACTAATTTCGTATATTAACAATCATTATTATTTATCCTTAGGATAATTTCTATTTTCATGAAATATAATATAATTATGATATACGTGGAGCACACAGACTTCCATGCCATCGAAGTAATTAGATCACCATATAACTTTTTGGAATTCGGTCATATTTTTTTGAAACGTTTCGCAATTATGTGCCTATAAAAAGTAAAATTACGACGAAATTTAAAGAGTCGACCTATTACGTTAACTGCAAGCTTCCTACCATCCCATTTAAATAAACGAGGCGAACCTTGTTTGTCCCTAATATACCACCTGCCAAGTTCGTCCTGCACCCTGAAGCGCACTTGCTATCAAAAGAGCGTGGCTGGCTGTTATTTATTTTCGAGCGCGATGATCCTCTGATACAGATTTAGTTGAGGAAGTCTGGGGGGTTTTTGAATGCGTGCAGTCCGCGCTGTCCCCCCACTCCCTTATTGCCAATCCACAAGTGTAGATCCGGTAGAAATGTGGCAACGTCGATAGATTCGAAAACTAGTGGTTACCACCACCACTTTTTGTTGCGTACAACACCCGCACAATTTGAGGTTTCTCTCTGTTAAACAAACGCACGCTAGCTGCTGTAGTGGTAAGGTGACAGTCAATTAGACAAGTCGCAGTTACTGCTAACGTTTTACGCTAACGCCAAACTTTTTACGTTGCGGCATGCTTAATTTTGTATATTTCACATTGAAAGGATATAAAATTATTGTGCTGTTGTGTTTAAGTGCAAATTAATTTGGATTATCTAACTCTTTGGATTTATTCACATTACATCATCGAGAGACCATAAGGTGATTATTTACTCTTGTTTAGTGTATTTGTCTGATATTTATTGTAATCTATCTGCACACGTTGGAATGGATTTTGAGAAATGTGTGGAACTGCTGAGAATAGATTTTATTGTAGGTCATAGGCGCGAAAAACTGCTTCAATTGCTAACAATAGTTTTCAATTAAGCACGGCGACAACGCTTTTAATGTCTTTTTTAAAAACATATGTTCTTAAGTACATTTAATACATTACGTAAGTGTTCTTTGAAATTGTTGCGTTCTAAATTGGTACGGAGCGCGTTTTAACAAAAGATTTGAAAAAAGGAAATGGAACAAAGTTCAGGCGGAAACGCTTAATAAGTTCTAGGGATTTTCTCAGAGAGAGACCATTGTCAGTGTTGTTATTAACAATTTTCCATTGCCAAATGGTTTTATACAATTGTAGGTCAAGTAAACTTACGTATGCGGAATTCTCAGTCCAAAACTTCCTCATTTAAGTCAACAAGGCAATTTTGGAGCTCCTTGAATTCGTTTATCGCCATGATTTACAAAATAGATAAGATTCGCCTAAAACCGTTTTAGCAACCCATCCACGTGACGTGGTACTGTAGACTTTAAACTCCATAAATTTCCAAGCGATTTAAAATCACTTACTTAGTGATAGGAAGCTATTAAGAATTTCCGGAATTAAGTAAGTTGAAGGAAATTCTTTGCACTGTTCGAGTGGAAAAGTTACTTTTCAAGGATGTTGTTAATTACGCTTTTATTAGAGCGGAAATGTGAACTTCGGTCTACAGGTTTTCATCGCCTCTTCTCCCTTTAACTTCCAAACTTGGCGGCTGTTCCCCTATTTCAAAGATCCTTACCGTACCTGTTGCAACGGCAGGTAAATGGGTTCATCGTTGTCGGTGGTTAGTTTTTGACCCTAGTCATCCCTTAGTTGGCGCTTTTGAAATGTACGGAATCTCGTGGGCGCTCCCATAACGAAGAGGATCAATAATTTAAAATGTAACGTTATTTTGCATCTTGCCAAAATGGTGTATCAGCATTATACACACCATGGCCTGCAGTCTTTGCAATATCGCAGTATGGGCGATTTTAAAATGTCTCGCATGAATACGCAATTTTTTTATGCGGTTAGTAATAAACGTCGAGCTCACTTGAAAAAAATGCGAATTTGTACGGTTTGGAGCTAAATGAAAGCTTATAATTAAATTTAAGAGGTGAACCTGCTCCTTTCCATTTGAGTGAAGGCGCGCGTAGAAAAAAAGGGAGGAAAATTCTAAAACCAGATTCACACAGCCCTTTCATTTCGATTTCAATGAAAGGCGACAACGAAAGGATTTTCAAAAATGTAGGTTTACTTACGTAAACAATCGGGTGGTGGAGAATACCAAAGTAAACACAATGGGCAATGGGCGGCTAAAATATGGAACAAATTCGTTTAAAAATCAGATGTTGTGTTTCAAAGAAATGCTCACACACGTCCATCATACTTTTTTCTTGTGCATTTTTTGCACTAAAGAGAAAATATACAGGGTGCGTGATAACGTAGGTTTTGATATCAGACGATTCTTTTAAATGGAACAGAATTTTTAAAAACCAAATTTAGAATTCTGCGTCAAATTCTACGCATAATAAAAATAATTCGAAAATGGTTCCATTTAATAAATTAAATTTGGTATCAAAATCTACTTTTTGACACAACCTGTATATTTTCACATCAGTGCAAAAAATGCGCAAAAGAAAATGTGCGAGCATTTTTTTAAAATTCAACATCTAATTTTTAAATGAATTTGTTTAATATTGTGGCCGCTCACTGTATATTTTTTGGTAAGGCCTTTTCCGATTGCCTAAATTTTTGTTGTATAATTCAGCTCACCGTGAAATTCTGTGTTGGGGGAATTTTTCAACATGAAAATAACGAATCCAAAATATTTTTACTAAATCGGAAAGAGCACGTCCAAAAACCTAGGTAGAATGATAGAGTATAATTTCGGAAATATTCGGGAATATGGCTAAGAACGAATATCTTGAGAAACTTGACGAGAACATTGTTCCGAAATTTTCAGTTTATATATACTAGTACGTTATCAAGTATGTATACGTGCATTAGTTCTTATCGGGAAAGTTCTTGACTACTCAGGTATCAAATTTTAAGATTCGAGATTTAGAGTAAGTTTTCTTTAATTTGCTGAATTTTTAGTTTTGTTTTAAAGGCGCAGTATTTGATATGGCATGTGAACTGAGACCAAGTAGTATTTTTAGATGCATAAAATAAACAATCTAAAATGCGTTTTATTGTTTTTAAAAAACATAATTTTATTAAAAGATTGATTCTGTTTGGTGTATTGTAATTATGTAGTATAGAATAGTATATTTTATAAAAGGTAAATATTACTGATAATTATCGAAAATTTCCGAGTATTCTCGAGAGTTGCCGAATGTTCGTTCGATACGTCCTCGGATATGTTAAATAAATTATGGGAATTTTACACTATTACCAAGCCAAGCATTCTGTGTAGTGAGAGAATTTTTATTGTGCAGTTTGTTCGAGAAAATTTCGGAAATTGTTTGTCTAGGTGTATTGTTGATAGGAGTTGCTTTGATAGTATTTGTTTTTCGCTATACATGTTGTTATAGGTACGTACAAAACTGGACCAAAACAAACATGTATTCTAACAAAATAATGGTCCAAAGTGTCCGGTTTGGCGTCTTCAAATGATTCAAAGCTCGCATTTCTTCTTTAATTTTTTCTGGGCAACCACAACACATATAGGTACAGCTATTAGGTATTTGGAAAACTCGCCCAGGTTTGGTACACGATCGTCTAAATAGGTCCTTCCGTACAACACACTGTGTATGTGTGACGCATTTTTGTATCTTAAACCCTCGCTTAAATCCAACCAAGTACAAATAATTTCAAACTCCGCTGAATTAGGTACGCATTTTTGTGAAAAAAACGTTCGTACTTACCAAAGAATCGAACTGAACCACCTAATAGCCTTGTCACTAGGACTAGGCCATTGTGGCACACATTATGCAGTGGTGTTACTTTTTATTGGTATAGTCGAGAGCGAGGTCGAGAGCTATAGCTGCTCTGTGAGTGATAAATGTTCGGAAAAAAGAGTAGTTTCTAAGCAAAGTAACACTTTGATCTTTGGAAAACATTATTTTGGGCCCTTCTACCACTCATTTACTTATATACATACCTGTTTAACTGTACAAGAACGAGCTAAAACAGGTAAATAACAACCCACTTTTTATGAAGGTCTAGGAGAGCAAGGTATATGGGAACGTATGCACTTCTAGTTTCACTTGCTTTTTTTTCATATTTTGGTTAATAACAAATTTAGCACAAAACAGGCATATGAATCATATCTTGGGTGGCATCAAGAATAACGAAAGAAAAATGAGAAAATCGCGTGGGATTTGCAAAAGTACGAGCAAAAGTAAGAACAATCTACCATTATCAAAATTGTATCTATTTCTGTAGTGTGAGAAAGTAAGCGCACTTGGACAAACATTAAAACAAGTTGTAAATCAGCATGATTAAAGGGCATTTTGCATTTTTGGGAATACAGCAGGAAAGTTTAGAATTAATCGATCTCACAACAAATCTAACTCAAAATAGAGAGCAGCTTTTCTCAATCCTTTTTGAACACAGAGCCTTTATAAAGTGGAATAATTGATTATATTGTTAGTGTGTGTAATAAATGGTAGAATCTTATTGACGGATCCCCCAGGCCCCAGGGCCCTCGCAAGGGTGATTTGCGCCCGCGAGGTTATGGTTGAGTGAGGCGTATTCGACCGGGGGGTACTTCAGTACTTCAGCCCCACAAGTGCGGCCCTTTTTTAAGGAAATACCCGCATTGGATCCGTTCGAGGATCTGTTGGTACCTCGGAAATACGCTGTTTTTTTACATACAATAGCGTATTTTTTTCCACTACTTTTTTCCGATATTTGGTTCGTTATGGTGTCGAGATTTGCGGGAATTTTTTCTCTGCCGCTTACGAAACAAGCTGCAGCAACATAATCTTTTTTTCACCCACAAATTTTATTTTAATCTTTTGTGATTTATTGTGCGTCCCAGACTCCACACACTTGTTGCATTTTAATCCTTGACTAGCCAAAACCCAAACATGGTGCTTGCTGAATTTTCGAGCTGTAATTTAATTGAATCGATTATTTCATAAAAACCATTTCTTTTAAATTTATAGACGGATTTTTTGAAATTCCGTATGCGCAGGGCCAATTTTTTTTGTTGCAGGCAGATTTTTCCTAAATTTTAACCGTTTATGTCCATTTTCGTTAAATGGTTGAAGACGAATTTGTCAGGAGTAAGTACCTAATTAATTTTTTCGAAAAAAATACTATTAATGTGGAAATGCGCTTTTGGTAAATACAAGATATCGTTACGTCAATAACATACAATAAAAATTCCCTGTCAAGTAAGCGATTTCCTTTAGGCACTCTGTGCATTTTAAATTTCTCCAAATAAACTGCCCTTAATTCAGGGTGCGGAATTTTAAAGTTTGTATTTCTGCTGTAAGTATAAAACGTACCTTACGATGCTTGTTATTTTAGCCAGATATATTAGCGTTGACAAGAGATGTCAGGAATTCTTGACAAAATTTGTAAAGCTTTTTTGAGTCTAAGAAAATTTTGCAATGCAGATAATTTTGGAAATGTGTAGGAAATTCGAGAGGAAATTCAATATCACCTGGAAGGGAGAAAAGGAACCGTTTTAACACTGCCAGTAATATGATTTGGTTCAGTACTGCAATCGGGTATACTGGACGCCCTTTTTACGTACACTCGTATTTCAGTTCTAGTTCACGGGCAGGGATACCGTGTAATAGCTGTAGATGTCATGCATATTTTTTTTGCAATATCATTTTGATGTGAGCGCAAAAAGGGTTCATTTTTTACAATGGCACTTCGTGGCCATCTCAAATTAGTCATATCTAGTATTTATTGTTGATGTTTTCGGAATTGTTTGAATTCGGAATTATCTCTGACGGAAGTTGTAATTTGCACTTGCGTGGTAGGAGGCAATGGGTTCACGTGCTTTTATAAGAAATAACATTCTTCCTGTTGTGTCGAGCGAATGTTTCGCCACTTGATAAACGTATATTTAGCTTCCTTATCATGTTGTGCCATTTTTCTGTAAGTCTCGTGTTATCGCATTAATCATATGATATTTTGCTTAAAGTCTGCAGGAGACAATAAGTGAACTGCGGCAAATCTTCGTTTTCGCTCAAATTGTTGAGTTTGTAAGGTTGTGACATCCTTTTAACAATACAATAACCTATGAAAACGGTAAAGCATATTATAATCTTATCAACAACAATTTAGATTGTTTCCAGGAATTTATGCGCAATTAGAACTTTTGTCAAATAAATCTCGAGTGGAACGGCAATTCGATTACCTAAGGTAGCAACTAGATTTTTTAAACCCAACAATGTTCGATTTATTGACATGCTTCAAAGGATTACCGATAACTCACCTCACCTGTACACCTGAATTTACTTACACGTGCATCGCACTTGACCTAAATTGTGCCCAAAAAAGGCTCGTGGCGAATATTGCATATTTATCTTTCGCCATGCATAATTCAACCTTTACATCCTTCAGTGTTTTACACGTGGCTTCGATAACACGGAATCCATGCAAGGAACTTCCTATAATGGAAAGTTTTGCAATTACTGCTTCACGTACGTATAGATAAAACTTATCGCCGGTTTATGTGGAAATCGATTTTTGTTTATTCATTTAGTCACATGCGGCCACTTATAATTATTTGTTACGCAGAAACGCCGGCGCTATTTACAACAAGGCTCTCCGGAAATTGAGTCGGCACAATCTTTGAAATGGAAATAAATAATTTAAAGGAAGACCTTTAAACTGTGCGCAGTGCGATAACTTTTATTGTAAAATTTGCATTGATAATGAAGGTTATTATCCTATTGTAGTCGTAAGGGTTTCCTTCCTTTTTAATCATTCATGTGATACTATTGTAAGTAAATCTAATTTGGTGGTCCTTCCTCCATAGGTCCATAGAAACTCAAAATCAAAGTCATTGCAGTAAAAAAAATGATCTGTGTACCTTTTCTGACGTCAACGTCGTCAGTGACTGTTACGAGGTGGAATTTTAAAAGTCTTGTTTTAGATTGTTTTCAGAAATTATGTAAAGCAACGTGAAATTGGTGCAGTCTAAACTTCCGGAGAATTGGGAAATTTAATTTTTGATTAAGTAATTGCGTCCAATTTATTCGGTAGCCATCAAAATTAATAATTTATTGGATAACGAGCGGTAATTGTTTGTCGCAAATAATTACGGAATACATACATATAGATATCGTGCTGTGGATTCTTTAAATTTTCGTCAACACGCCTGGGAACTTTTTCGTTCCAAAGACTTGTTTTTGGGTAATTAATTTATAAGCGTTTTGATGCGACTGACCTTATGACGTCAGAAATTTCCCATTATTTATCGAATTGTTTGCTTTGGTCACATCTTCAATAAAAATGTAAATTTCTTGCTCGTCAGCGTCACTCGAAACTACTTGCGTTCGGAGGGGTCAATAAATTCGCCTATAGACTGACTGCAGCAAGCTCATGTTTAGTCTGCAAGATAAATTTAAACATCATCATTTTGAAGCAGTATCCGATTTGTTTCTTTTTAACTAAGTAATTTTGTACAATTTCCCTTGCAATTACGATGACGCTAAATCGTATGACTCAGTTTCTTGCTGACGATCACTTATCATTTTGCGGTTATCTAATTGTGGTTTGCGCCTTTCCGAAAAATGGACATTTCTACTGGCGTCAGTAAACAATAATGGTTCAGAATTCGATCGATAATCTTTTATCAGAAATTATCTGTTTGCCTAAACTAGAAAGGAAAACATCAATTGCGGAAGCATTTATTTTCAAACTTTGACATTGAATCTGCTTCCTGGTTTGATTCATTTCACTACCGTCTTGTTTAAACCAGGAAGTTACACAAAACGTCGATTAAACTCGCGTTAGTGGCAATTGCAAAAAAAAACGAGTGGTACAAGCGCGCGCCCGTGTGTAAGGAAGTCAGTTGGTTATGTGAAACTCTTCAAATATGAGGAAATATGTAAAAATTGAAGGTTAACCGGACAGCGCGCCTCTTGTAAGAAATGTAATGAAAATTAATTTCCGCGATAAATCTTCCATTTGGAAAGTGTCCTTGGCAATCCTCTAATTTGTAACTCTTTGTTTCAGTTCATTATGAAGCTAGCTCCAGGCCCGTTACCCCCAATCCCTACCGCTGCAACAATGGACCGTCTACCACTCCCTCTCCCTTTCAGTCCAGATCTACTGTGGCGATACCCCTTGGGATTTTCCAACGTCACGCAACAACCTCCGTCATCCCCTTTAATGGATTACAAAAGCCAACTGCCGACAAGCCTCGCAACCGATCCTCGCGTGTGGTCCAGAGAAGATGTCATCTCCTTCTTGCGTTGGGCAGAAAGGGAGTACGATCTCCAACCAATCGACATGGATATGTTCCAAATGAACGGTAAGCACTTAATTAATCCCCTCATTCAGCTGTGCTAAGCGTTTCGTTTACAGGAAAAGCAATGTGCCTTTTGACGAGAACTGACCTGTCGGAAAGAGCGCCAGGTTCAGGTGACGTTTTACACAACGTCCTTCAACTGCTAGTGCGAGAAGCGAACATAGTGCAACGTTGCCTCCCATCAAGTCCCGTAACGCCCACATCACGTCACGCGTATCCTCTATCGCCACATTCCCATCCACCAACCCCTAACTGGAATATGTTGACTCAAAACGGTTGTGATTTCCACTCGACGCACGCGGCCACATTAGCGGCACACTTAATGGCACAAAGCAATTCCGTCACACTAAGCCCCGCGCCATCAGTTGATAGTCAAGCGGGAAGCCCTCAACATGCGGAAGCCTGTCAGCAACCTGCATACGGACACTTCAGTAGCGGTAGTAATGGCAGTGCTAGTGGGAGTAACCAGTCCGATTCAGACGAAGACAGTTTCCCAGATAGTGGGAAAAGTGCTCAAAACAATACTAGTCCACCAAATACACCAAGTGCTTTCACATTAGTCCCTCCCGCCCATTACATGCCCCCCAAAAGTCCAAAAGAAGCTGTCTCTAGTCCAATATTCAAAACGATGGCAAGAGAATTCTTCCCAAGCGAATCACCGGAACCAAACACAAGTACGTCTACCTAAATCCCTCTCGGTAACATTCCGCTAACAAAATTAATTACAGACGGCCGATTACTGTGGGACTTCCTGCAGCAGCTCCTCAACGACCCCAGTCAGCGATACACCAGCTACATCGCGTGGAAAAACCGCGACACCGGCGTTTTCAAAATCGTCGACCCGGCCGGTCTCGCCAAACTTTGGGGAATACAAAAAAATCACCTTTCCATGAACTACGACAAAATGTCACGCGCCTTGCGGTATTATTACAGAGTAAACATACTGCGAAAAGTCCAGGGCGAGCGCCATTGTTATCAGTAAGTAGAGATTAATTTTCAATTTATCTTCGGTATTATCACAGCATTGTTACAGATTTCTGAGAAATCCTACGGAATTGAAGAATATCAAGAATATCTCTCTCCTCCGTCAGCAGATGTCCCCAAACCGCCCCGCGCCCCAACCGCAACCACAAGTAGTCCATATGACAATTAAACCAGAACCCGCCGAAGTCGACCAAGACACTAGCAGACTGCAAGAGTTTGACGAAAAACCTACAGATTTAAGCATGGATGGCCCCACGGACCTCAGCAGTAATAGTAGTAGGCACATTAGCATTGTATGTTCCCCCGATACTCCCAGTCTCAGAGACCCTCCACAAAAAAACTTCTATATAAAAGAAGAAATAAAGTGATAGTGTAGATTTAATTTATAAACCTCGTAACTTAACGTGCCAATTAATAACGATATCAAAATGTGCAAGAATTAGTGATAACAAGAAGTGACTATTTTTAACGGTTTTAAAGTGTAAATAATTTATGTAAAGTAGATATGTGCCAAAACCTCTATTGTAGATAAATTCAAGCTGAAACATGATAACAATTACAATATTCCTCGGAAATATTGTATTGAACAAAATTTTCGTGTTGCGCACAAAATTTTAGGCAGCTAATTTTTTATGATCACCTTGTGATACTATTGACAATAATTTAATACAAAAAAAAGTGATGTACAAAAAGAGATGGACTGGAACGCTACAAATTGTCAATCATCTTTGGGGGCCACTAGCTGCATATTTTTTGAAAATGAAATTTGCAACATTCCATTGATAGTTGCACCCAGTATGCCTTATCTATTGAAAAATGTTAATATTAAGAAAATTTACAAAAAGCGGGACATTCATTTCCAGCTCTGTTTCTGTGATCTCTTATTATATAAATTAAACTCAAAATGTGTGATTTAATATAATATTTAATCAACCACATATATATTGATAGAATGTAGATTGTATTAATTTCATATAAAAAAGAGACAATGTTTAGGATAGTGTGGGTAGACTGCCCAAGAGCTTTACTTAGAATGAACGAATTTTTGTGTCAAATTGGTATATTTTGTTCCAAGATTTTAATGTTAATTTAGTGTAATATACTGGACAAGACGGTTTTTTTAAGCCGCGCGTACCTTTTGTATGAAGTTTATTTTATTGTTAATGTAACAAATGTTTGAAATATACAATATAATTCGATCGAATTCTTGTCTTTTTTTTGTTCCCAAAATATGATTTTAAAAAATAGAAAAATTGCCGCACTTGCATTGAATACCACCCGCAGAACTCGACAATTATAACTTTGTTTAAGAATAATTATCCATCTGTTTATTTTACAGTCTCATTGCAATTTGTATGTAATGTGTTAGCCTTAGGTAGAGGTTGCCATCTCAAAACTCTACCAACTAGGACACGAAGCATGAAAACCCCGGATTTAGGGATTATAAACCCGGACATATCAACTGAATTTGATAAAAAATATTTTCTAAAGAAATAAAACAACCAATTAATTTTTTTAAATAAAACAAGGCGTACTCTATCGGGAAACAAAATCTTCTTTAACTGTTAGGAATCAACAACGGCTTATCTACATTTTTAAATTCTTTAAATGAAGCAATAATATACTTTTTTAACAAAATAAAATACAAGTTGTAAGAGCTATTAATAATTTTTAAATGAAACAAAAATTTGGTCTTTTAGTAAAATAAAATGTTTAGGGAACTACTTTTCAGATCTTCGGTATTTATCTGTCTTTCCAATAGCCTTTAGAATAGCTTTCTTCACTTAAAAGAAATTTATAAAAATCTACACAATTATAATCTTTAAAATTGTACTTTATTTTTATCACTGACGAGACTGTTTCAATATTCAATAAATTCCTTTATTTTGTCCACTGTTGTGCCACTAGTGAAAATACTGTTTCAGCGTTGTCATTATGAGCAGGAATGCAAAACTAGTAGCGTCCCAACGAACGAGCGGACGGACGGCCAAGTGGCCACAATAGCGCATTTTTTTGGTGGAAATGCGTTCAAAAGTAGTGCGCAATTTTCAATAACTCCGAGTACCTATAAATGAGCATTCGGTGTTTTAATAGTATATTAAGATACAAGTGTATAATCAAGTCTTTAAAGCACTCGCAATGAGTTTAAGGGCACGACACAAAGCGGAGTGCCTTTAACGTTGCAAGTGCTTTAAAGACCAATTATACACGTGTATCTTATAGTATTTTTTATTATAGGTACCTGCATTTAAGAATAGGAAATACAACGAAATCATATTGACGTTATACTCCAATACATTGTCTAATTAAGTGGGATGGGTTTTCGTAATTTCACGATTGCCATGGAAATGTTACTTGACGTTTGCTTATAAAAATCATCGTCTTTGTGAATAAAACATTTCCGTTGAAATACAGAATACACCGTCCATTAAATCGCTTGTTCGTTGAAAAACAGAATACACCGTCCATTAAATCGCTTGTTGTACAATCTAAACAAACGTTGGTAGGTGTAAAATCCAAATCCAGTAAAGCCTATTATCAAGCATATGAAAAGTTGTTTCCATGGATGAATAGGAAGTTACTTACGAATAAAGTCTGAAATGCATCGATAATCCATATTATTATTATCCATAATTTCCAGTGAGAGCAAGAACACGTTATAAGTGAGGCTCAGCCCCACTTGGCTACGAGCACAGATATATTTACATATAACTGTGGATATACTTAAGCGTGTTTAATTAAAATATACATATTTAATTTGTAAAACTTTACTTATTAAATGTACATTGAAAACACATTTTATGAATGAAAGAATATAACATCTTCTGCCTGTATCGATGTGGTTGTCCTAGTTTGTCCTTCGTCCCCTTTCACTTCGCCGTAAGTTATCTTGCCACTAACGTGTACTCGTTGGCCTTTTTTCATAAAATTCATTATCGTCTCACGTAGACCGGGTTTAAAACAAATAACTCGATGCCACTCGGTACGCTGTAAAAACTCGCCAGTTTCGTACCTATAATTTGAATGGGTTGCTAATGAGAACACTACAACTGGATGATCATCACTTCCTTTTCTCTGGGGATCTGCACCTACTCGTCCGAGCAATTGGACGTTATTAATCGCTGAAAATAGTTTGTAAGTAACTTATACTGGTAAAAACTTTTTTTTACTTTTCTCTACTCTTGCTGGTTCTTGTTGTTGCGATGTGCTACTCGAATTCCGCAAGATATTGAAGAAATTTGTTTGTAATGAGGGTTTTTTGCAAACGCAACTTATAACCTACGAAAATTAAAATTATAACTCATGGTGTAGTATTGTGGGATCTACTAATTAAAACATGATAAAGAATACTTACATGTTTAGCTAACATTTCTGAAATCTATAAAATTAAATATTAAAACCAATGAATAGGTATTAAAACAAATAAAATTGAGGTTAGGAGTTCGTAAGTTTTCTGATTGGCGCATTTGAATTAAAGCGGTCTGCTATACCGACTTAAAAAACTGTCAGTGGCGTAACCACGTAAGAATCTGAGGACTATTATTATACACCAAAGGCGGAGACATGTGAATTGTAGTGTGGGGCCATATGCTATATGTTTGTCCAACTGTCATTGAGCTGATTGGTTACACAGATCTTAGTTTAAAAAATAGTTATATGTAATTGTAATTAGTAATTTCAATGACAGCTGGTATTTTTGATCTTAGATGCAATGGTAAATAAAATTTTATAGCACACGCCATCAAGTTTGATTTCCTTCCAAGTGCAAACAAAGCTCAGTGAAATTTACTTGAAACTTACCACTACTAAAGTACAACATTTGAATGTCTGAAGTTGTAGTGGTCATGATAGTGGTAGGGTACCTATACCATTGTGTTGAGAGAGAACAGGCTCTTTGGGATCTACTCGCACAGGATACAGTTGCGAGTACCTACGCGATAAGAGCACGGAAGGAAATAACCCAATCATTAGGCACATTCTCAATTGCGTTTCAAACCACATTGGTAGGAACAAAGCTTGGAGACACAAACATCGAGAACACAAAATTCAGTGAGGAAAGGACTCCCTTGAGCTGGAACGCATGGTAATTCAAACTTCAGCACGGACATAAAGGATCATTTTATATTGAACAAAAGTAGTGTAAAAATCACAAAATATGTAAAATTGTAATAGCATTCTTAACCTAAAACATCAAGTTATCTCATCTTCTCCCAGTATTTCTCAAACTGCTCTTTGTGTTTGTCTCTAATATACGGTTGTAATCCTTGAATTATATACCTTATATTGTACTGAGCGAGAAAAATATCATTTAACTTATTGGTAAAACCGTCAAAATCATCTTGTTCTTTATAAAAAGTTAATGCACGAATGAACATATCACACTGAGTAGGGTTCAAATTTCTCCTCACCTGAAATTGCCATTCACCACAAGTAACAGTAAATGCAGAATATTATTAACGTAAGGCATACCATGGTCATATATTCTTTGTTGTCTGTCATTCCCTGATCCGAATTAGTGGACGTTGGATTATTAGAAATTGCTATGCGTCTTCTTTTTGTGTTGCTATTTGTTGTGGTGCTTCGACTATGAATGGTGACCAGACCATTAGCATTATTGGCAGAATGAGAGGATTGGGGCACATTCATCGAGTTAAAGTTAAAATAGCCACGTGGTTTAGTGGTAATGCTTTCGAGATCGCTGAATGATTTGGAGGGCTCCAACTGAGAAGAGGGGGCAGGTTTTTCTGAAGGTAACTAAAATGTTTGATTATAAACTAGAGTCTAGACAATGCACTTGCAGACATACATTCTTCTCAGCATTACGGTAAAACTCCCGCAAACATCTAATAACCTCTCCAAAATGCTTAGCCACTTTAATGTGATCCCTCAACCACTGGGACATTTGGTTTTTCATTTTAAAGCCGGCAAATCGAGAATCCAGTAAAATGATTGCTCCGTAATCATGACGATGTCTGATGACACGCCCAATAGCTTGGTTAACAGCACGAGAGGCTTCCAAGCTGTACCACTCGTCACCACTGATCATCTACATAAAACCAAGAAAGTATACCTAATTGGTTGATTAACTGCCAAACTTACCTCTTTATTTAGTACCCTACAGTCATTTAAATATTTTCTCTTCAGAATGACTTTGGGGTCCTTTAATGGAGAGAAAGGCAACCCGATTATTAGAACAGCACGTCCATTTTTATCAGCAAAATCGAGACCTTCCGAAATTTTTCCTCTACAGACACCCAAGAAAATCGCACCCTTGTGATTAGGATCTGCTACACGAGCATAATACTCTGTCATAGCAGTCGTAAATGCTTCTTTCCTTCGGGGCTCAACATATATTGCCTAGAAAAAAATTTTGGGGACTCTACTGTAAACCAAAACTGTTTACCTTTACGGCATAGATGCTGCTCCATATTCCATTTTCTTGCCAATGCTCTGTACATTTTTGCATAATCGGATACGAAGGGAAAAAAATTAGCATTCCATTGGGAATCATTCTGGTTAAATTGAGGATGGTACGGCCAAGTGATGATATATAATCTGGGTTGTCACTAAAACAGAGCATATATGATATAAACCAAGAATCTCTTGTTACGTACCGATTTCTAAAACTGCTATTTAATTCAATCCCATCAGGTCCTTTTTCCAAAACTGTTACGACAACCTGGTCATGTTTGATGATATGAGGATTCTCCAAGGTAACTGCGACCGGCATTTCCAATTCAGAAATAAAAGGCTTTAACGGAGCAAGGGTGCCACTGGTCAATATAACATTTCTCACTCCTCTTCCTAAAAGCATTCCCATTCTAAAAGAACTTTACTTCGCATAACTGTTACAATGGGAAGCCGTACCCAAAACCTGGACTGAAACACCAGAAATTCAAGCTTCTGCCGCCATTTTTATAACTTGAAGTTGCCTTTGATAGCCAATTGTTTCCAACGTTTTTCTGAGGCTGCTCTTCTTCAATATACACCTGAAATGATTGCGATCGAAAAGTTTTACAAGTTGGATGATCGTGATTACCGTGTAACACTTTTTAATTTTTTCTTTAATGTCGGGCAAATTATGCGCGTATACTAAAGTCAATAGAAAATTAAATGCTTCCAGACCGTTTCCTTTCCTTTGAAAGGGGCCGTCATTTGGAGTTACAGACAGAAATTGTATAATCTTGTCTATTAAGCTCGATAAAAGCATACAGTTTTCATAGTCAATCTGAAAAGACAATGTTTAATGCATTAGTACAGCAGTCAGTAAAATGAGTAAGTTCGCATATCGCTTATATTAATACTGCGTATGAAGGTATACAGTACCTCATATAGAATGATTTCTGGGAACGATGGTTTTCATGCAATCCTTTGAAATTAATTAACGGATAACGGAAAATCGGGTCTAAAAGAATGGCTTCCATTGACGTTTTCAAGACTTTTTGAGATTGGTGTACTCGAGGTAATTCCGGGGGCATTGAACGGCCTGCGATTATTGTCTGGTGTCAAATAACTCGACTGCACAATACCATTGTTTAAATACTTTTAAACAATGACAATACTATCTATTACCATTGTTTAAGTAGTATTTAAACAATGCTATTACGCATTTATTCAAAAAAACAATTTAAAATGTTGCCGACACTTTTAACTTTTGAAAGGGAAAAATTTAACTATTCAAATCGGCCACTCTGACTTTTAATTGGTCGATCCAAAAAACGTTCGCTTGCAATTAAAGTTGATTTTCTCCTAATTCTTTCTGTATAGGTGTTTTATTTCTTCTTTGACCGATAATGAATTAGCTTTTTAATTACTCGCCATAACGCATACGAAAACCAATGACACAGAAAATTACAGATGTCCAATTTTTATTTATAAACAAAGGACTGTTAAAAATATGCAATTATGAATTAATATAATTTTTTGTAGAAACCAATCTCCAGTCCTAAAATTCATAATAAAAGCTGACATTTATTTGATAACTTGGAATTATGGAGATATTTAAATATATATGTGTAAATTGGCGCCTTTGTGGCGTATGTTGGGGCCGATACTATAATCTTTTTTTATTGTCGAACGCTTTTTATACGATTGATGAGTTTGTGAATAACTGTAAATGTCTTTAGTTTCTTTTTATTCTATGAATGTAAACCCAAATGTTTTTGTGTTAGTTTAGAATTATGTACGACAAGTGTAAGTGTAAACACACAGTAGCACAATATATCATATTATTATTATTATTATTAAGAAGAGAGCGTTTCGAGAGCGAAGGTGGCCTGTTAAAATAGGGCGCAACATTTTTTTGCCCTCAAAAAAAAGGTCGTTTTTCGTTAACAAACTTTTTGGTGTTTAAAGGTTTCCCATTCCAACGCAATTAATTAAGTGTAATCCTCGAGGTAATCCTGGACCATTGGTGCTATTCCGGGAAGGTCTGATTTTGTGACCAACATGGTCTGCACATAAGTTAATCTTAAATTTCATCAACCAAACTTCACAAATTACAAAGTAGTCACAGAGTGATATGTAACTATAGTTGAGTGAGTTACATTAATGATTAACCTCGTGATTAACTTACCCCTCCTTTTTTTAGAATCTCAAAAATATAGTCGCCATCAAAAGTAGAGCTCGAAGAGTCACTCCCATGAACAATTTTCACGCTGTCGATTGCCTTCTCAAAATCAAGCAGAGCTTGTTTAAGAGTACACAACTCATCGGGCGTGAAATCAGCAGGATTGTCTCCAAAGTCCAAATTACTCGCCATTGCAGTCATGACATCCGTCACTTCCGCAATGCACAGAGTAATATCTGCGGAGCTAAGCACTAATGATGCGGAGTCTTCGCAGATTTTATTGATGTTGTGTGCTTCATCGAGGATAATTATATTATTTGATAGCTCAACGCCTAAACAAAGTTTGTTAAGAAAATGTCTTGAACCAGAGAGTGAGTACTAACCGACAGTCTTCCTAGTACGGCTATCCAATAAATAATTATAAGGCATAAAAATGATATCCGCCTGTTTCGTCATTTCCTTAACCATATAATAGGGACAGAATCGTTGCGCTTTACCATGAGTGATGATATCCTCAATATCAACAACGTTCAGTTCAGAAATAAATGGACTGTTTGCGACCCTGTCAACATTGTTATAGAAGTGACAGCATTTTCCATGTATCTTCGACCTACAGAGGTGCCTCTAAAAGTGTAGTTAAGTAGCCCCAGAGTGTGTAAATATTAGAAAATTACCTTAGCAATAAAGTCTTCTTCACGAACCACATCTGGGTTAATACACAACTGCTCGCGTGAGGCCACAACTGTCGCTTTCATATGAGAATACGCAGTCCGTTTCATTTCGTTCATTGCTTGGGACAATTGAGAATGCGTACGTGAGGCGTATATTATCGTGGGTACTCTTAAAAACTGTCTACCACTGGAGCCAAGTTTACTGTCTATTGATTCTTTTAAAGCGCGCACGAATTCTGTGCCAGCATCATTATTAAATGTGCCAAATCGTTCAGCTTGAAACTGTGCCTTCCTAATGCTGAGCCAAGCCAGAGATGCACAGAGTAATGACAGCGTTTTACCGGTTCCCGTAGGAGATTCCAGAACTGCATTGGTTTCATTTTGAAGACATTCAATTACTTTTTCCATGTAGTGTTTTTGCAGTTCATACGGCTCAAATGGGAATGTAACGGGTATACCTCTTATATTAATGGTATTCATTGCATTCGCTTAATTGTAGTGTATCAAAACAAGCACATAAACACACACACAAAAAGAGGGAAACAGCTAAAAGTAGGGTTATCAATTTCTCCAAAGTAAAAATGCAACGTTGCCGGAATGCTTTCATCAACATCTACTGTTGAAGTATGTACAGAGAGGACAAAACTTGTAGACTTTCCTTCTGATATTTTCCTTTGGGAATCGGATCTGACCTACGCACGCTATACAATATTGTTTTTAGCTATTTTTGTCAATTTATTTGGAGGGAAGAATGAAATCGGTAACCTTATTGGTTACAGTTATGTCAGTGGCGTAAGCTAAGGCTTTCATGTGACAGTAACCAAGGCGTAGGTTAGAATGTTATTCTTATTTATTTTTATTTTATTTTATTTTGCCTTTATTTTTGAGTAGGCGGGGTTTCAGACAAGGCTGCTCTACCAACTCAACCCACTATACATTTACAAATATCCATGCTCGAACCCGGATTCGAACCAGGGACCCTTAGCAACACAGTTCAGCTTTAATTGAACTGCGCCACACGGGCCGGCTTCTTCCCGCTGATGCACCAAAGGTTAGAGTTAGAGTAGCAATTTAAGAATATCAAGCAAAAGATAGAGCTTAAATGTAGGGAGCCTTTGCATTGTGCGTTACGCCAGCCAGTATCCTCGGGAGTTAAAAAGTACCGCTTTAAATCCCAAATGAAATTATGGTTTTTAAATTAATTTTGTGATATTTGTATTACGACAAGCACAAAAATACAAACAGGCTAGCTTGTTATAGCTCAGTAGGTACTTGACTATGAGCAAGAAGAATCATGGTTCGAATGAGAGCTGTGGTATGCAACTTTTGTGAATCTTTTTTGGTGTCACTGATTTTCTTAGTAGTTTCCTTGTATTGCATTTCTGGTTTTTAAGAGATCATTATTATCGATACTGCAAACCCAATGCTTAAAGTTTGCTCTCTATGATGGGTCAGCTTTTTGAACTAGAAATTCGGATTACCCTGTATAAATCAGAAATTTTGATAACTGAAGAGTTCAGTACAGTCATCTATTCTATGGTTTACTGTCAACGTCGTGAAGTTCTTTGATTGGTTGTTGTTGAAGTGTTGATATTTTAGGTTATGTAGGTTAATAAATTTGCGACACGAATTGCCTCTTTCTTCCATTTATCCTATTAATTTATTAATTGGAAGGTTAATTGAAATATTCCATTATGGAATTAGATATACAATTTAGTAGTGTATTGTTTTATGGCTCCGCAGCTCTAGTTTCTGTTTTTTTGGCGGTGAGTGGTTGTTATTGTGACACGTTGCTGTTAGGGGCGCATTTAGGAACTCCCTTATTTATAAAATAATAATCAAATTTTTAGGTCTGTGCAATACTAATTGCAATATCTAGCCGCTACCCCATTATAATGCGAAGTAGAAAAGAAAAATACTTTATGGATCCTAATAGCGGAAAATTCGTCGAATTCCCATCTATTTACGATAATTCTAGTATACATTTAAGCGTAATTATTCCAGCGTATAATGAAGAAGTTCGATGTAAGGTCCTTCGCAATCGACTTCTCTTGAAAACTGTTTTTAGTGTCGCCAATGTTGGATGAGTGTGTAGCGTTTTTGGAAGACCGGGCGAAAGACGGTCGTTTTAAGTATGAGATAATTGTTGTTAGTGATGGTAGCGTAGATAATACAGTATTAGTTGCAAAAAAATATTGCAAACAGTTAGGGGTAGAGAAATTCAGAATACTCGAACTGGAGACAAATCGAGGTAAAGGAGGGGCTGTTAGACTGGTAATTGGTCGGTGTTTCATTCAAACATAAGACATTTGGTCATTTGTAGGGAATGTTAAGTGCAAGAGGAGCTCTGCTCTTATTTGCAGATGCAGATGGGGCTACTAAATTTATGGATTTGTCGAAGTTGGAGCTAAGCTTAAAGAATGAACTTACAGGTGGGTCTTAAAATATGGATGCAAGAGTTACATTTTTCTCTAGGAGATTACTTGGAACAACCTGAAGTATTAGCTAGCAAAACCTGTATAGTCGTGGGGTCCAGGGCGCATTTACAAAGTGACGCTGTAGCTCAAAGAAGTCTCTTCCGTACAATATTAATGCATGGTTTTCATACATTTGTGTGGATGTTTACTGTACGTGATATTAAAGACACTCAGTGTGGTTTCAAGCTGTTCACAAGAAAAGCTGCCGTGATGTGTTTTGATAGCCTACACGTCGAAAGATGGTATTGATTTAAGATCTGTTTGCCATCGTGAGTAATACCTTATTCGTTAGGGCATTTGATGCTGAATTATTGTTTATTGCTAAGAAATTACACATTCCAGTGACCGAAGTGGCTGTTAATTGGACCGAAATCGAGGGCTCTAAGCTAGTTCCCATTTGGAGCTGGCTTCAAATGGGAAAGGATTTATTTGTGATTTGGTTGCGATATCAAATTGGAGCATGGGACATCGCTGCACAGAAAAAAGAATAAATGATTATATTTTAAATTTGAATAAATGTCTTTTAAGTGAAATTATATTTACCTACAATAAACTTGACTGAGATTCCACCAGAAAATATATAATTCCAAAATGTTCTTTTAATTTTAGTATATACCTACTTCAAGCTTTAAATGTGGGCAATGTGGATATTATTAGACCTTCCCCACTATGAGAGTTGAAGGGCATTTTGTAAGTGGTCCGTGGTCCACACCAATACCCCTAAATTATGTTGAAATTTATCAGAATATGTATGAAATATTTACTACATTCTACATGAAACCTGAAATTTTTAATCTCGCCAACTCTACAAAATTTCTTTGTCCAATCATTCTACTACAGGAGAAATGTGGTCAAAAGATTGTGGCACTAGTGACTTGTAATTATATTGGACATGTAATTTGGGAGCTCAACGTTTTTAAAGGTCTTATGTGGGCGTTTGTTTTTAATTTTGTTTACGTCGCGTGTTTAAATTTACCACCTACACAAGTCGCTTATTGTCTAGTTTTCACGATTTACATTCGTGTATAGGAACTTCTCAAAAGATAATTCGCAAAAAATCCTAAATCGGCCACTTTTATTGACAAATCAATATCCCAAATCTATTATTTTTATACATATGTACCTTACTTGATTGCGTTATTTAATCGATACAATCTATATAAGAGATGTATCTTTCTTCAAATATACTCATTGTTGGGAATTGGTAAAAGGTTCTTCATTAGTTCTGCTTCTGATTGCACCGCTAAGTATACAAGGATTCTACAATTAAAATCCAGACACTTACGCAATTTTATCCAATTCCTTACTTTATATGATTTTACTACATTAGGGAATTGAATATCAGGGTTTTTCGGTCGCATATGGAAAGACCTGTGGTAAATGTATAACAAAAAAATCACTTTATTGCACAGTCTAAGAAATCCGAGGAGGAAAAGAAACAAATTCATGATGTTAAAGACGAAGAAGAAGAAGAGACACTAAATGAATTTTATGTAAGCTCTGTTACTAAATGTATTGGCACAATCGATCTAAAGGATGAAACAGTACTATGGATGCAGAGTGTACTAATTGAAGGTAATTCTATTGTACTTAAGTTATAACACAGGCGCCGAGGTCAATGTTTTAGCCTCTAGAATTATTTATTAGTTAAATACCAGCAAGGTAATAAAGCAACCTAACATAGCTTTATTTGTCGTGAAAATGTACGACAGATCATCGCAAGAAAAAGACGTCAGTGAATGCAGAAAACGCCTTTTCATCAAGAAAAACGAAGATATTTGCAAGATCCATCCAACAAGTCACGTCTTGTTTTTAAAGCTATGCAAAACCTTCTTTTTGTTTCCCCAAACCCTTTTGACCTGCTTAGTTCGAATCGCTTTGCAGTTTCAGCAGTCATTGCCAGACCCGTCCGACTGCGGTTGGACTCTTTAATTCATAAAGTGCGGCTGGAAAAAGGGCTGGACTAGGGGTTCCAAGATTGGGCTACTAGTTAAAAAGTTACAGCCCTTTGAATTTTCTTTCGAAATTGGTTTAGAGTATAACTTTTGATTGAGAAGTCTGATCGAAAAAGTACGAATTGTTTTGGATTCTACGCACCAAACTTAATAAGAAAAAGTGTTTTCCCGAGAAATTTGGGTACAGTCGATTTTTGGTAAAAAAGGAAGGTAATACCCTGGGTTGGACCGAAGCAAGATCTAGATGCACCAAACAAAACATGCCTTGCTCTCCCCTGTACGCTTGCGACGGCCCCTGCCATGAACAAAAGGTTTTTTTTCTGTTTACAAAGCTTAAACCCTGGTTTAGTTTTAATGATTTTCTATGTGAATAAACCACTAACCATTATGGCAACCTGGTTATATACATGATATCTACTAACTTTGAATCAGCACCTGTTAGGGTAGACAAGCAGCCGTAACTATTTAGGCCCCTTACAACCTTCAAATGCATTGAAGCATGTATAGGTAGCCTAAGAGTGCATTCTGTCAGAGAATGTTCGTCAAATCGCTACGTGTATAGACAAATGATATATTGTGTGGTCTAAATAACTGGGTGCGCACGTCTACTATGTTGTAGAACATACCTAGTTTAATAAGCAAAAAGCCTAATCTGGCTATAAAATATGGAAAATAAGGAGAAAACACGAAATCTGAAGAAAATTTAAGTAAATTGTCATTTTACACCCTGACGGCAACCAGCCCTAATTGGGTCCCCCATTACTCCTTTAATGCTTTGAAGTATATGTAGTTATCCTACGAGTACCTACATTTTGTCAGAGAAAGTTTGTCAAATCATAACTTTGTCCTTTTCGTTATACATCTCCTTACAGGGTACTGGGTAGGCAACCTCTCATAACTCTGGTTCCGAGCGGAATGGAGCGTGGCGCCATATCTGATCTTGAAGAGGAAGGGCCAAAGACCATCTATACTAATTTTCAAAACTTTACCTCAACGTGTGAACTCGTTTGGTTTATACGCCAGACTATAATATAGCTCAGAAGAAAATTAAGTGTCGTAGTCATAAACGGTAAGTGGAACGTCAGGACGAGACATACCTATTGGGGATGTCAAAACTTTCAGTGCAAATACTTGTAGAACGGCGTGTCGGAGGAGGTACTCTCAAAGGGCGGAAAGATCTTCTAGTATGTAGTAATTTAGCACAGTTTCACTGTTTCAATTGTAGTGGTGTTTCCGAGGATGTTTCATTAGAATCAATGGAATGGCTATGCGATTATTTATGATTTTAGTACAATGCAATCTTGATATTTCTGCTGTTCCTTAATCCGACCCGTTCGGTAATCCGGCGTCTCTGGGACTACTACAAGATGTCATTTTTGATAAAATGCACCTAGCCAAGAAAAAAATTAATATTTATTTTTCCGAGTGTGTAAAATTACGTATTTGTGTACATTTTGTTGTTCGTTGTCTAATTTGTAAACATTTTCATTGTATATGCATATATATTCATAGTAAAATTGGCGTTTTTTCTCCATTACTCTGGATAATCTGGATTCTTTGATAATCCGGCGGTTCGGTGGTCCCATATGTGTGGGATTATCAAGATTCTACTGTATATTTCGATGACCAACATATTGTTAATATTACCGCGAAGAGGCCGTGTAAAACAAAGACCATGAGCGTATCCCATGGTAACGTGTGTAACAAAAACCGCCCTAATTCGTCATTCTCAAACTATATTTGGTTGGTGGGCGCTGTTAAACTGAACCTTAATTGGTATTGTACGATATGTTAAAAACCGACTAATTTCACAAGCCGCATTTTCCTTTCATTGGAATGGAGATTCAAAACATATTTATTTATTCGACTATTTACACGACAAGAGAAGAAAAACTGCTGCGGCAAATACGCAGAAAAGGAAAATATGTGATAATTATAGGATGTCTTGGAAAAACCCATCAGACCTCTAAATTTGTCAACTTGCTCTATGCACCTACACAGAATTTAAAAAAAAAACCACAATGAAACCGTGGTTAAAACCGTACCTAACTTTAGAAAAGATAAAATTCTTCTGCGGTTCGGATGAGTGTTTCATAGCCTTCAAAAGGCTATTTGAAAATCTTCCACAGGAAATGGCATTGAATCGCAATCAAAAATCCGTTCATTCATTCAGAAAAGTAATAAATAACAAATGAAAAACGAGATCCTACGCTTGCAAGGTTTGTAGTTTATCAGCGATTTTTGTGAAAAGGTGGCGAATTGAACTTGTGGAACAATGAGCTGGTCCGATACTTTGCCCTTTTGCTACAATATTCTCGAAGATTAGTAAATTGCCATTTAACTATACGCACTCAAAGATTTCAATTAAAAATAAACTCCCACTTGAAGCAGTTATGATAATAAAATATTGAAAATGAAGCTGCCAAAAGGTGAATTGCGGGCTAAGTATGTGATGACTGGAAATATGGAAATTAGATAGTTCCTATGAATAGGGTCAAATGACAGCGTTTGAGCCTCAACAGGCTTTAGTTAAGGAAAAGAATGCACATTTTTATTAAAATGAAATATAGGAAATCTGGGGCAGCGACGACATCAAAGATGGATTAAAACGAGCTAAACTAATTACACTCAACTCGCGTCACACTAGAAATTAAGCATTGAGGAAAGCAAAATTACTCCAGAGCTTGAAAGGGTTTTTCTCGCGTTGAGTCTGCCGATATATGGACTTGCCCTATTTACATTGTGTGATAAAGGGGTCACAACCTATATTTAGTTCTTGGAATATTATCTCCTTTATGCCTTTCAGGTATGGATTTCTCCGAGATTGGACGTGAGTAGGTGTGCAAAATTCATTACGTAAGGGGTTGGCGACATTATGTAATTAAATTTAATTGCTGATAGGCGTTCAGATAATTAAAAATCTTTCCAAAGTAGCCGTTTTGAAGTTTACGTCAATGTTTTCATGGAAAGGGTTGCGTAGTATTAATTTGGGGTATGCGCATGTTCCGGAGCTGGAGTTCCCTTCAGCCAGTGAAAAAAGGACGACGGGCGTATCTGATACAACATTTTTGTGTCCCTGTGAATGGAAGGGTGAGTACAATTGTCTGATTATTGCATGGTGTGCATATTACTGTTTTTAAATTAGTTGATAAATGAAAAGATCTGGTGGGTTATGGAAAGCCCACTTGTACAAAGTGTTAGGTGCATTATTAGCTCAAAATCATTTGATTAACTTTTTGGTTCCATTGCCTCTATTACTTTGTAATAGTGTTTGTGTGTAAATTGACTGTGCTGATCGAAGTGTGACTGCGACATTGAAATTTAATAGCGCGTCCTCTTTAAGGCGGCGGTATTGATCCATTCAATAAATACGTTCTAGAAATACATTCTGTTCGCATACACCAATTGTGAGTTTCACCTTTGGTTTCACATAGCAAGCGACATAGTTTGGTAACGTTTCCATTTTTTTTTGCAAGTTTTGATACAATATTACAGCTGGCACATTTGAAAATTAAATGTAGCCGCACTTTTCATTTTCCAAAAAAACGAAATAAAACTCCGTTTCATCGTGTCCACCGAAAAATTGCGGTTTTTTCAGGACTTACACGTACCTACTGCACAAGATATTAAGAGTCAATAACTTTGAGGTCAAATGAAACGCGATGCCCAGAGGACATACCTTGGAGCAAATATTTCGCTCTATAATTTCCCTGAATGGACTTTATAATTTACGAACCTTAAAGGGGTTTAACAGATGTTTGTATAATACAAAAAATGGGGGGGTTTCCGCAAACGTCGACGGTATGATAATAACCCACATTATGATAACATATTATGATAAGCGGCAAGTTAATGAGTTAATAGGCACAGTACTTTTTATTTCCAGGTTGCACACACGTCAAAAATGAGCGCGCACATAACAAATAGAAGATTGCTACACAGTGGGGCATTTCATAAAATATACGTGATAAAGAGGTGACCCATTTAAATTTTGGAAAATGTCTTTACAAACCGAATGCCAATACCTTTGCCCTAGACTCATAGACTATTTGGCTATAGTTGGGGCAAGGCCTTATAATGCACGATCAAGCTCAAATCCTCCGATTCAGGTAAGAACTTTCTCTCGCTTTCTCAAACCGCCTCGCCTTTTGTAATTACCGGATTCAAAAACTCCCCGGAGGTTTTATGAGTCGGTTTGCCTTACGGTTCGCTTTAATAAAGGGATTTAATCTGAAATTTACTTTCAAGATTGCTTTGCTTATTTCAAAATAGCCGTGGGCAATTTAATTAGGTTAACATTGGAAACTTATAATCCAATTTTATTCGATAGGTTCCTGAGCTTCTTCGTCGCTATCCCACTCAAGATCACAAAGATTTTCCAATGCCATTGGATATGGTATACTTTTGTCAACCGGAAGGTTGCTCGTCGGTTGGTCCACGACGAACAGCTCTCAGGGAAGCATCTTCGTTTGTTTTTACTTTAACCGACAAAGATTCGGGAAAAACGCGCTATGGGATTTGCGTTAACTTTTATCGGCCGATTGAAAAATATCAAAGCGGTATTGGCACGGGAGGTAGAAGTAGCTCAACATTTAGACGTGACTCGTGGAGGAAGAGCATGGAGAAAAGTTCAGATTCCGCATTTTCAAGGTGATATTGCTATTATCTTACATTGTTTTACTAATACCTATATGCAGTGATTATAGGAGTAGCAATGTAGGACCAAGTGACTCTGAAAAAGACTGTCCAAGCCGAAGAGATTCTGATGCTGTTGGTCAAAGTACAACACAACCACCTAGATTAGGAGTTATAGCACCGAGTAATGACTCCGAGAGTGGTGGTAGTCATACACCGTCACCGAGAGCAAGTAGAAAACGGCAAAGAATTAGAAATCATTCACTCACATCACTGTGTCTACTTTCACATCATCCCTTTTTTACGACTTTTCGCGAATGCCTATTTATTTTAAAGAAATTAATAGACGCTTGCAACGAATCATCCAGTTCGAAACGAGTTGGCGCTTCTCGACAAGTGGGACGGTATCACCGTTACACTAACATATGCTTGGAATACTATTTTTATTTTACAGGGATACGGTGTGGAGTGTTATCACTAGTCAAGCGAGTGAAGCAACACCTTCAATTGTACTGTATGATGTTAGAGAAATTGAAACGTGGATACTAAGGCTACTTTCAGCTCCAGTTCCAGTACCAGGGAAAACAAAGTATGGCCAACGCCATTTAACTAGCCCCTAACCCTCCTATTTTCAGAGTTGAAGTAGAAGTCTTGTCGCCAACTGTACATGATGCATTAACTTTTGCGTTGCCAGATCATACAAGATTTAGTTTGGTGGATTTTCCTTTACATTTACCGCTAGAGTTGTTAGGTAATTCTAATGGACCTAGATACACTTGTTTGAAATAAAATGTTTCTTAGGGGTAGACACTTGTTTGAAAGTATTAACACTGATCCTTTTGGAGCACAAGGTCGTGCTTCAATCAAGAGATTACAATGCTCTTTCAATGTCTGTGATGGCTTTTGTTACTATGATATATCCGTTAGAATATATGTTTCCCGTTATCCCACTTCTGCCGACGTGTATGAGTTGTGCAGAACAGGTAAATACCTTTCATTTACCCTGCGTATGCACTAACAACGTAATTTCAGCTACTCCTAGCGCCAACGCCTTTTGTCATTGGTCTTCCAGCTAGTTTCTTGATGTATAAAAAAAATTTTAGGTAGCTCAAATAAGTGTGTTGCCGGCGAAGGTATTAATTCTCGCTTTTAGACTTCCAGATGATATTTGGCTAGTCGATTTAGATTCTAATAAATTGTTCTCGAGCAATGGAGGGTCGGAAGGCATTCCACCGTTGCCAGAACCCGAAGCAACCATTCTGAAAAACTACTTAAAGCAGGTAAATTTAATCGTGTTTATTTTTCTAAATCGAAAATCGCCCTTCTTGTACTCTTCCCTCTTTTTTTCTCACTTTTTATTCGCCCTCAGGCTATGCAATTAATGGACCAAGTGGGGACGGGAGTAAATATCTTATGTAGTAGTTTGTACTTGCATGCCAAGCATGAATAGAACTAGAATTCGTGCCTAATACAAAATTTACTTTCTAGAGAACAAATTAGGTGCTTTAGATATTAATTGTGGCCACGAACACGCAGGTTCACAAAAAGAAGTTGCGATAGATCTTAGAGCTTACACGAAAATTTGTTTGAATTTACTAATAATTTTGTGTCTTAGGCGCTAGGGAGTTTATCAACGCCGACGACAGCGGGGACAAATTCGCAGCTTATGCCATCGAGAAGGGACAGCATTCAAACCCCAAATACTCTAAGGTAACAATTGTGATGGGAACGCGGTTTTTTTATTCGCAAAATTTCAGTGTTAAACATAAATCGCCCGATCCCTCACCACCACCACAGTCATTTGGGATGGCAAATGTTGGTCAACGAGGGATTACTCCCACGTCAGCACAGCCTATTCCCCATCGACCGTCTTCGTCTCCTACGCCGTTTAATCCCATTATCTACGGAAATGACGTCGATTCTGTTGACGTAGCGACTAGAGTTGCAATGGCAAGTTATTGGCACGTACTTTTACGGTGCGAATATTAATTTTGTAGGTTCGATTTTTCAACTCGCAAAATCTGCTTGCCAATTTTACGGAGCATACAAGGACTTTAAGACTATATCCTCGACCGGTTGTCGCTTTTCAAATTAACAGTTTTTTAAGATCCCGCCCTCGAACTTCACAATTTTTAAACCGATTTGCCAGAACGCAAGCAGTCGAGTTTTTAGCAGAGTGGTCCTTGACACCTACTAATGTGGCGTTCCAAAGGGTTCACACTGGAGTGTTGGATCCGTCGCAAGTAGGCGACAAGCCCAAATGGTATCTCCACACATTAGAGCCAATTAAGTTCGTCGTCTGGGACGATGGAAGCTCCTTAAATGGGGCGTTGAGAAGTCTGCAAAATCCAGAAAATCAGCCAACTGATGAAAGCGGATCGGATTCTGAAGGTGCTGATAGTACGAGTTCAAGTTACTCTTCACTAAGCGATTTTGTCTCTGAAATGGTTTCGTCTGATCTATCACCAGGTACGTACATAATGACGAGAGAATTCGTTGCTAATTTCAGGGACACTTTTAGGAGCATCCTACCAAGAGGCGCGGAATTCTGCCCAAAATATGTCGTTGTCTTCTAATCTAGACCCACAATCCGTCTACCATCCTCCCTCAACTCTACAGTTCCCTGATGGGGAATGTCCAAAAAGTGATCGTGCCGAGTCTCCTCAATCCTCATCCAGTAGCCAGTCTGATCTTAGCTCTCCATCATTTAACAGAGATTCGGAGTTAGAATTTGGTACACGACAGAAAAGCGAAACTTGTATCCCTGCAAAAGTGGTACGTGAATTCATGTGAAACTAAACTTAATTCTAACATATTTAGGATAAAGAGGAAGGAGGAAGTTTTGAAAACGAATCCGATTCAAACTCCACTACCACTCCCAAAACAGTCGTCAGCGGTTCAGCGAAACCTGGTTCACCGACGAGTACAGCGAGTGATCCTACCGAACGAATTTCCTCCTCACGAAAGACCAGATTTGGCCGCTCGATTACACCCGTAAGCTTACACAAAGTAGTGATTAGAAGTAGGTGCGCTTACACTACATATTACATAGGTACCACCAATCACACCTTGCTTGCAAAAACAGCCAAGCGTAGGGAATGTATTAGCTAGAACCTCTAGTTTTGGGTCCTCCGGTACCGCGAGTCCCGCCCCGTCACTCGGAGCAAGTGGTGACGAGAGAGTTCAAAGACAAGGATCGCAAGGTTCTATCTTTGAACAGTTCGCTAGCCAGGCCAAGGAATTGGTACGGGAAACTACTAGACAAAGTAGTCAAGATGGTTTACTGGCTCAAATGGATAAGGTGCTTTTTGCTTTACTTGCCTTTAACGCTTCGTAAATACAAAGACCGGCCACTAACTTCGTTTTCTTTTGCAGCTGAAGTTGCAGGCCAAAGGAAAATTGTCAGATTCCGAAGAGGGAAATATTTTCGCACCATTTGACAAGGTAACCTATGCCTAATTGGTTTTTATGCGATATATAACTGTGCTTACAGCTTGCGAGTCACGCAAAAAAAGCAGCGGAGGAAGCGACGAAAAGTGTCCAGGAAGTGAGCAAGACTGCGATTGAGGCTAGTAAAAGTGCAGCTGGCGTAAGCAAGAATACACTCGAGGATTTGACTTACGTTGGTAAATCCACTTTGGGGGATTTGACGAAAGGTGCCAAGGAGGTAGCGAAGAAGGGTCTTCTACGGGTGCGTATTTTTATGATCACCACAATATATTGTGGCGCTATTTATTAGAGCGACTCTGTGAGTCAAAGCGGAGGAGAATCGAGACGTGGCTCATCGAACACATCTCTGGTGCAGGCAGCAAGTTCCAGTTTAATAGCGGGGACAAGCAGAGATTTCTTCTCTAATATTAGCTCGGATTTGAATGGCATCGCTGCCACAACGTCAAGCATGTTTTCTGATCTATTTGGTGTTGGTAGTAAGGGTACTCAGAAGACTAGCCCCCAAGTTGCGACACAACAGCAGCCGCAACAACAACAGGCTAAGCAAAAAGAGACCAAGGGAGTATTTGGACCTTTCCCTAGAGGCCCAAGAGGATTAGTTGAAAAGAGCCCACTAATTAAACACACCCCCAGACGTCAAGATGAATTGCAGCGGTTGCAGTCCGTTGAACGATCCGCGAATAATGCAGAAAACCAAGCGTTCCTTAAAGACGTAAGTCTCATTTTGTGTGCATCTTGCCCAGTGGCGCAATTAGTTAAACTGTTGGCGCCCGTAGGATAATATTTTGCCCTGATTTTAAGAAAAATGTAATCGCGCCTTGCAGGTACCCAGAAAAACTCACACCCAATTCGTTCTGGGACATTATAATTATTTATGAAATTAAAACGTAATGCCTTTACTAGCGTCATTGCAACCGGTTTGCAAAAGTTCAACTTCTGGTCTTGATATCGAAGCTAATAACCAATAATGACACAGTTTATCTAAAATATCATTGTAACGGACTCACTAAATCGGAAATGTTCTTCGATTAATTCCGAACGGAATAACTTTCTAGACCAAACACAATTCCGTTTAAAAAAATTCAATTTTTCGTCGGTTTCTAAACGGTAAAAAATACACGCAAGACAACATTGCTTTAACTGCCTTTAGGAGGAGCTCTTTAAGAATGTTCAAATCATAAAATTTCGTAATTAACTTTTAAGCATTAAGTTCAAAATTACGAAGATCTTTTTCAAACCTTTAATTTTACATAAATGAAAAATTGGCACCTCAAACACGTTCTATAATAATTAAACGACGCAACAAAAACGCACGACATTTGCATCGCGGTTAACAAATTTATTCTTTGAATTTCCACCAAGAATATCATTTGTTTGGAAAACCAATTAAACCCGCTAAAGTTTGATACTGTGAATTTGTATGATTTGTAATGCCCAAATTGCTCTACTCTATTAGCACCCCCAAAATTTCGAACTTCAGTCCGAAAATTGTAAATGCAATTTAAGTACATACAAAATTTTACGCACGTATGAAGGGTTTTTATTCAAAAATTACAAAAAAAGAACACATCGTGCCAATCGTCGACATTTGCAATAAAATTGTAGATGTCATAAGGATAAATTGTAGCTATTTTATTCCTTTAGGACCGGTTTTTCTTGTCTGAGTTAAATATATCTGATACATAAACTTCCTTGTGAATACATTTATTTCCATGAAAGTTAAGACCGTACTAGGCTGATGTAAATTCACCCCTGATCTTACCGGTCTCGTTTAAACCTTCAGGTTGTCAACCAAGTGTTAGAAGGAGAAGGTGTCGGGTGGTTAAAATTAAATAGACTGAAAAAGTTGATGGAAGACGAGTCGTACCGCAACTTTGTCTTGAGCAAATTGAATAAGACATTGGACAAGAAAATTGCCCCAGATGATCACATTGATGACGTGGTATGTATCAAAACGTATAGCAACTGGAAGTGATCAAAGGTTTTAGTGTCTACCGAAACCTATATGGAAGGGAGTTTTAAAGGTTTTACTAGCAGTCGTTCACGGATTGGAGCACACGTACAGTAATTACGGTTTGGGTGGTATGGCTTCAGCCTTTCAGCTGCAAGAAATCGCCCATACCCACTACTGGAGCAAGGAATTGGCAGATGTTGTGTCTACAGACAACCACTTACTGTCCTCTCAAGGTTCAAGCCCTGTAGGTAGCAGGGAAAATTTAACTTCGCCCCAGAGCCCACGCGTGAGCGCGTCGCCCGATTGGGATAGTTCACGAAAATCTTCCCACGCCGGTGGGTTAACGACACAAAACGAGGTTTAGTAACAATGATTCATACATTTCAGATCCTCCCCAAGTACGATTGGTGCAAGGTGAGGAATCGGAATCGGAGGGACCCCAATCAACATCTGATATGTTTAAAGACATGCTTAACCAAAAGAAAAATATGCTACTAAGCAAGCTAACGTCTTTTGATTCTGATGTAAGTAGCAGCAAAGCCGTTAGCATGCTGTTTGTGTAGCTATCTATCACCCTCGTTCAAGTCGTACAGTCAGGCATATTCATTAATATCATTACAATAGTATTAGTATGAGTATGCCTGATTCTTGTCTTGTCTAGCAGGCCGAAGGTACTTTGCATGGTTCCGGTGGCACTCTATCTCCCGGTGGTTCAATTACGACAGGACCCGCTTGTAACCTAAATCGTGGGGGTCTGCAATCTTCCTTCCGCTCAACCGTTTCTGACACTGAAGTAGAGACTCTTCAGGTAAATGTGTAATAATAGGAGCTTATGCACGTCCCGTATCTCCTCCAGATCTTTCTCTAAGTTGACGCCAATATTTGTTATAGTTTCCCAAACCATCAAAACAGAGGACGTCCAGCGTGTGGTCGAGTAAGTCCTCTTTAAGCACCGGGTTTAGATACCACGGAGGCCATATGGTCAATACAACAACTTCTCCTTCACCGGAAGCGGCGCGAACGTATTTATTTGAAGGGCTATTGGGAAAAGATAGGTCAACCCTCTGGGACCAAATGCAGTTTTGGGAGGACGCGTTCTTAGATGCGGTCTCGCAAGAACGCGATATGGTTGGAATGGACCAAGTAAGCGAATCTCGTTGTAAACCACGCACCTCAACTACGCTTTTAGGGTCCTCGTGAAATGATGGAGCGATATAAGAGCTTGAGCGAAACTGAGCGCAAAAGGCTGGAGCACGATGAAGACCGATTACTGTCAACTATGCTGTATAATTTAACTGCGATACTCGTAATGCTAAATGTTAATAAAGCGGAAATTAAACGTAAAATTAGGAGACTGTTGGGAAAATGCCATATTGGCCTTGTATACAGCCAGGAAGTGAATACATTATTGGATCAAATAAACAATTTGGTAAGACATCCCACGGTGGCACCTGATCAGGTATTATAAAATGTTGTTGAATGTAGCATGGGAACGATATTGACCTGAAGCCCTTGGGTTCAAGACTTTTGCATCGGCAAAGCTTTACCGTTCACCAAGGGGTTGACGGTGGTGGGGAGTTGAGGTTTTTAGAAGTACGCGACGATGGATTAGTTCTACGGTCGGTGTCTGGTGTTATAGTAGAACGGTGGTGGTTTGAAAGACTGGTGAATATGACTTATAGCCCTAAAAACAAAGTGTTGTGTCTATGGCGACGTAGTGGGCAACAGACGCAGTTGCATAAGTACTACACTAAAAAGGTACAAGTGTTTGTTGGATGGGAGAAGAGATCTGCACCTTTTTGTTTCTAGTGCAAGGAGCTGTATTATTGTATCAAAGAGGCTATGGAAAGAGGAGGGGTTGCAGGTACTGCTCCCGAACTTGGTGGAGAATTTCCAGTACAAGACATGAACTCAGGTGAGGGTGGTCTGCTGCAAGTCTGTATGGAGGGTGTAGGGCTACTCTTCGCCAATAGTAAGGTAACAATTCTGCTTTTTTCACTTTATTACGAGATATGTTATGTTTACAGATTAACTTAATTAGAATGTAGATTGTAAGATGCATTGGATTACAAATAAGTAAAGCCTATTAAACGATGCGATTATTTTGTATGTTATTAACGTAGTATTTTAGCTGCACAGAACCAAATGGGTGACTGCTGGCTGCATTTGGTTCTGGGCATGATACATTCTTTCTTATATATGTTTCGTGTTGTGGGGTACGCTATGACATGTGCATATGTTCTGCAAGGACCACTCAAACTTTCTACTGCTCTGCCACTCGATCGATTGAAAAATTCTCATCATTTTGGTTTTTAAAGTACTTCTTCTTAAGATGTGTAGGTTTTGGTTAAATTATGTTTAGCAAAAGCAGTGTCACCGATTATCACAGCATTTATTGGATGTTCATATCGTCAGGTAGTAGTTTTTTACTTTTATTTATATTGTATATTCATTTAGTTTGTTTCAATTTTTCATTATCAGTGTATTTCTATAATCTGCATGCAGCTCAGTGTGCAAAATATTAAGTGCTAATTGTTCGAATTTTTTTGTAACTTCTTCATTTGAATGCTGAATGCTCTTTTTCTTCTCTTTTATATCGATGTCGATGAGTGGTCATGTCTGGCATTTGCGGTGCTTTTTCGAGCAACCTTGCTTTGAACATTTTTCGCAAGAGTTGTATTCGAAAGTGTTCTGCAATGAAGCTTAGGAACTTTTGAGATGGTCCTTGTCGGGCACATATAACGTCACTAATGTTGTGTTTTTTGTTGTTTTCTATTTCCGTCCACGTCGATTGCCGGATGCTTGACAGGACTTTGAGGTATATAAAAGATCCATCTAATCTGGTCGTTAGTTTAGCATAGTCACTGTTTAGTTTAGCGCTTTTTCCTGTAGTTTGTTTTGTTCTTGCTGCATCCTCTACCAGGTCCTACTTTCACTTCAAGTAGAATTTTTCTAAATATCGATGCATTCAGGAGGAAAAAATTCGATCAAATGATTAATATAATCGTTAGTATGCTGCTGCCAGGTGTTCGCATAGTCGTAGTGTAGACTGCTGCTTCTAGCAGAACACCGCATGGCAAGATCAATCGCAAAATGCACTGTTTAACACACATAACATACACATAGAATAGGCCCATCTACATTAATCAAACCATCTCTAAAGTTGCCTAGTGCTTTACTAATGACATGCGCCGCATGATCTCTTTGTGCTCGCAATGCTTTGAATTAAACTTTTGTAAGTGAACAACATTTAAATTACATGTCTGTGTTTCAGTTTTTCGTTAGAATCGATCACATTAGGAAGTGCTTTACCCAAAAAGGAGGAATTTTCGTGTTGGAAGAATTCAGTAAGTGCTAGTCTACAAGGAAACCCGGAACCTTTAATTAATTTTTTATTAAAAATTAATTCAATTAAAAACAAAATGAGATTACGACTGAAACCTTTATCGGTATTCGGCAACTAATGAGTTTTTTAGCAATGTAAATGACAATTCGTCAAAAAAACAAATCAGCAGAATATTTTTCGAAAACAAAAAATAAGTAGTTGAATCACACCTTAATAGACTTTCTTTTTACATTTTAGATCCAAAAACGCGCCAAGTAATCCAGAGAAAGTACAAGTCGTCCATGGTAAGTTTTTTTTTTACTGAAGCACAATTTGTGTTTTTTTTTTGGTGTTGCACAGTTGTTTTTTTTCCAATTCAATGTTTGTAGGCCAACCAAATGATCTTCTCACTTCATCGAATTTTGTCAATATGTTTCGCTAAGAGAATGGCAGAATTTAATGAAAGCGCCCCTCCTTCTGCATGACTCCTTTACGTATTGACTGTGAGGTGTAATTTTTGTTTAGTTTTGTTCTGTATGTATATATAGAGTATGCAATAAATATTTTTATACATGATGATGTTTCACATATAGGCCGACCAAATTTGCTACGCTGTGCTTTGCGTATTTTCGTACGTTGCTGCTGGTTCAGAACGTCGAAATCAACAGCCAAGATCTTCTTTAGCGTCGACCCCAGCATCGGGGATCTCACAACCCATAGTCACTCAAAGCCAGCCCTCTAACGAGCCATCTGTGCAAAAATCGCCCATAAAGCAGCAACCAATTGAAAGTGCGCCTAAACGACAACTCTCTCTCACACAGACAAGCACTCTAATCTCCCAAACTCTAACTACTGCAACATCGGAGATGCAAATGGAAGCGGGATCCGTAACTCCTACAGCCGGTCCTCCGTCATATCCTCCCCCAGAATTACCACCGGGCGTTCAACCCCCAGCTCTGCCACCCAGTATTCTACGACTTGCGAAACCTCCTCCTGTCCCAAGCCGAAACATACGCCAGAAGTCTCCACCTGTCCCACAACCACCTCCACGACAGTGACGACGGAACGGTAGGTATTCTCTACCCTTTATCTACGGAGATGAAGCGTGTCTATTGAACTCGTGTCTTCCTTGGGGTAGAGATGCCGGTAGAAAAGACGATTTTGTCTAAATAATACATTTGTACCATAAAAGATATCAGTCAGTATTTATTGTATATAAAATATTTTTAGGTAATTGGGCTTAACTAAAATTGCTTACACGCTGTGTTTAGTTTGTAAATGTTTTGTAATTTATCTATGTTGTAATTAAGGTATATTTGTAATTTAATATTGTAATAAATCACACCAAAGTTTCCTAATTTGTAATATCGACGTTTTATTATATCTTTGTATAGCGTACATATGATTGACGACATGGCAATAAACTTATTTAATTGTGTCTGTGGTAAATGTAATATTTTAGAACATTGGGAGCATATTTTTCTGTAAAAAATGAAAATTAGCTTCGTATTAGACTTGTTAGCTGTTTATTATTGTACATCTTGATTAATGTTTGTACGATATCCATTTTAAGGTGCCTCAGTATAAAAGATCCTATTACTCGTAAGTTTATTTAACTACATAATTCGAAATTATTATAGATTATTTACAATTATTATTCTTAGTAAAGCAATATTGGTGGATTGTTAGTTTATACTAAAAAGATGTTTATGTATTATTTTCCTGTTGAAATAAATAATAAACAAAAGTGTTTTTTTTAAGAGTTGGAATTGCATATTTTCCGTAGAGTTTACAACCGCTAATGTAAAATTTTCCACGTAAGGATTTGTATAGGAGTAGTTATCCGTAAGATTGTCCTCCCTCGGAGAAGTTTGTACGAAATTAAGGAAGATGGGGTAAATCATTAGTTCAAAATTCATTGGCTTCGCAACTTCAATTTTTGGTAAAATGACTCTATTTAAATAAATGTATATTAGTAATTTTTGAAAGTTTTAAGATTTTTGAGAAGTTATTAAAGTAGCACCCATTAAAATAAATGCAAAAGATCTCGCCAAATGATCTGAAACTTCAAAACTCTTGAGGGATAATCAGGAACTCTATAATTATATCACAAATTTAAAAACAAATTTTAATGAAAAGACCTCTAAATATTTTACTTGGCATCTCGAGTATGGTACAGATGATGTACGGACAATTCGCGCCCGGATCATTCGCTTCTGGACAATTCCGCTGGTACTTCCAGCTCCCTTAACGCATTGGTTATCGCCTGTCGCGTTGAAGGAATTCTTCACGTCCAGTGACGCCACCAGACAGACCGCAAGTGTCCTCCACGTCCTTTCGTTTGTCTGCTTCACAGCTTGGACATTGCGTTAAGCGCATGGGTCGTTGATCGCCCCTTCACAAATCCATACCGTTTTGGGGGCAATCTCCCTGCTGTTGTCCCTTCCAGTCTCGATTGAATTATCTTTTCCAAAATCTTTCCGGGGAAGTCCAACAAATAGATGGGCTTTTTGGGCTCGACCATTTTTGTGGATATGCCCCTGTATCTACAAATCCTAGGTTGGGTCTAAGACCTAGCTCCTCGGTTCCTACCCTTGGTTGCTGATCAACAAGCAGCCTCAAACGGTCGTGGGTACGGAAAAGTTCTATTGTCGTCGCGTCAAGTTGCGCTATTGCACCCCACCACCGCCGTTCTTGCCCTAATCTTACACACCACAAATATAGACCTGGCTGTCATATTAATTAATTTGAATGTTGTTTCTCTTTGGCTTTCGTATTTTTATTTTTGTTCATGTGGGATGAATTCAACTGAAGAAAAAGTTGATATTTTGGATTCATAAAATTAGGCACCCATCAGAAGAGAGTTTGTCATTTGAAAGTAGACATAGAGAAAAATAATAGGTACACATAAATCCCTATGTCTACTTCCTAATAAATAGCACTGTATGTAGACATTATGCATTTAAAAATCAATTTTTATTAAAAAAAAATCGGAGGCGGAACTTTTATGTTCAGTACAATTAAAAGAGTGGAGTCCTGTAAACAAACTCAAACAAGGAAATAAAAATATTCAATGCAGTACAAAAATTACAGCATTCGCAAAAGGAAAAGGACTATACTTTTATGTTCAAAGGGTGACGTATGGGACCTTTAAATAAAATCAAACAAGTAAACGAATAAATTTGAAGTACACAACAATTACATCACTAACAGTGAATGAATCATCATGTAAAGGTTAGTTTTCTAAAAAAATTGTAACTATTGAAACAGAAGAGGACTATACTTTTATGCACATTTAAAGAGTAGCTTGTGGACCCTGTAAATAAAACGAATCAAGGAAACAACAAAATTTGCAGTGAGTGAAAGGGCTATACATTTAAAGGGTAGCTTGTAGACGCTGTAAACAAAATCCAACAAGGAATCACAAACAAAGTATCACAGAAATTAAAATTACAGGTCTCACAATAGACGGCTCGTAAAAGTGTAGATCATTTATTGATGTTATTAAACAATAACTAAACATTTTCGAATTTAGGTACAAAAATAAAATAGAAAAGTTTTTTGTAGGTTAATAATTTTAAAGAGAAAAATTGATAGTATTTTGGATAATAATCTGGTGGTCTTTCTCTAGAAAAATGACTCCCTTGCCACCTATGCTACTCCATCCTGGATATGCACCTGTTTCTACAGTATACGGTTAAACAAAATAGTTTGACCAGGAAATCAAAATCCGATTACGCCTACCGACACACCTGACGTACAAAAATTAATTTATGTACCGAATGGATCTGGTAACCCGCGGAATGGTGCCAATTTGTACTGCTATTTTACAAAGGATTGGAGATTTTCTCAGGTTCGTGGTATAAATTCTTCTTGTATTTTATTTTTTTGGATTTTATTACCTTTATTTTATAGTGGGCGGAGTGTTAGCTAATTAGCTACTCTTCCCACTCAACCCACTATACAATCCCATACAGCCATGCCTTACCTGGGATTCGAAACCAGAACCCTTGTATTACAAGTTAGAGCTACTAACGTAAATTCATCTGCGCAGGTCGGCGATAATTTCTTCGTCTTTTTAGGTTGAGGTACTTTTGGAACTTACCTTTTTGTACTTTTACTTCCAGCTAGCTAAGATAAAAATAGTTTAAAAGAAGAAATAACTTAGTTCATTTTTATTTCAGTGATATCTCATTAATTGTTAATAAGTTATAATCAAAATTTGGAAAAATACTGATTTAGAAACCCAAGCAAGTCGCAGATCTCAGGCACATGAAGACTGCACCACAGAATACGGCCTTCTTTTTCTTATTATGTGGACTTCACGTAGTGGTTTTGGACCCTGGGATCATAGTACTGCTTTCCCTCGATCCGTCTTGGTAGACATTTTTGAAAAAGAACAATTTAAAGCTGTCCCATAAAAACAAGATGCTGGATCACTAAAATGTTCATTTCCCAATGCTCATATGACCAATGAATTATTTGCTTTTTAGGGGAAGTTTTCGAAAGAAAAAAAATCCCCTTATGTTATGGTTTTGTCCGTCTGTCGGCCCGTCTGTTCCTCGCCTAACTCGAGAACGAAAAAAGATAATGATGTCAAACTTTCGCCAATCGATTTCTAAGAGTTCAAGGATCAGTGCTATTGAATATGAGCCGCATTAAAAGTCTGGTTTCAGAATGCGAAATGCGAACTGAGTGGCCCTATTCCCCTATTGAAAATCGTATGCGATTCTTCGTATCTTGTTTACTCTAGTTCTATCCTTATTTAAAAAGACTCAGTTCATAGGTAACTGAGGAATTCGACCATGCAGGTACTTATGAGGCACTATTGTTATAGATTGCCTACTTAAAAATTCACTACTATACTTTGCTTGAAAGTTTATTCATTTCCAGGTATAAGGCAGTATGCAGGATCTTTTTGAAAAAGAAAACAATAAAAGTTAATTACTACACTCATCGTGAACCTAATTCCGCATGAACAAAAAGTAACTGCACTTTTGTGGACAATTGTGTTCATACGAGGATTTTCGGAAGCATGCATTACATTAAGCTTCGTGTAATCCGCACAATTAAACTTTACGTCTTTTCTAAAGCTAGATACGTAGGGGTATATTTCTAGAGCATCACATCAAACGTAGATCTAAGGGTGTAATAAAAATATGCAAATTTTAATGAACGTTAGACGTGAGTTTAATAATTAGTATGCAAAACTTTGCTCGCTCTTAAAACCTAGTTTTTAGAAGCGGCGATAACTGTACTCCTTCTTTTCTTTAAGATACCAAAAATTAAACATTTACGTACAAATTACCACACATTACTATTCTATACGAAACTCCGTGGTTCTATCTCACATACTGACGACGTGTTCAGTTTCGTTATTGAGATATTTATATTTTAGTGTAAGACTTCACGAAATTTTAACAAGTTCAACATTTTCTGAAATTACACGGTTAGATAAGATAATTAAATCTATTTAAAATACCACTTTAGATGGTATCCGCGAAAGTACTATATTCAAAGTGGCGTAAAAAGACAATAGGTAGTCTAATTTTAAAATGTAAGGCATGTAATGCGGAGTAAATCCCTGAAACCTTAATTAATCCCTTTAGTTGTAGACTCGGCGAGTTCTGCTACAAAAATAATGACAATTTCCGTTTATAAATGGACCAAAAGTTTAGTTATCTAAATATTGTGGGCAAGATGGCGAAATTATCACGTTATTTGTTAAAAGGACTGGTCGGGATAATAACGGGGAGAACACGCGCGTGATCGTGTCTACCATTTTAAGCTGATATGGAAGAAGGGATTTGTGGTAATGACATTTTAAGTTTAGACAGGTTCTGTTTGAGCAGGGCGAAAGGACATTAGTGTTACAATTTTGAAAGATTTCGTATTTTATAAATCAGGGTTCTTTAAGTTTCTGAGGTTTAATAATTGACAGGTAAAATGGATATACGAATGGACTGGTTCAATTTTCCGTAAGACATCGAGGCAGTAATTTAGGTATATAGCAGGGTTCATAATTTATGTTTTTTCACGATCCCTAAATCTGTGCATTCTTGACGAGATTCTTGAGCACTCCTGTTGTCATTACTGCTTCCTCATTTATTATACCTACAACGTCTCCAAAGTCGAAAAAGTAAAGATATTGTGCACTATTAATTATTCACGTAGGTTGTGGATAGGATGATCTGTAAAATTGCAATATTCCGAATTAACGACATTTTATTATGTAATTTATTAATATCTTCACAACATATGTATCAAACTTTTGCGATTACTCCGTATTGAGGTTCGAGATGAACTGTTCTTTAATAATCACCTTTGCTGTTTTGGAACCAGCATAAGTAGTAATTAAATAGAAGTTATTTCTGACAAGTTGTAGCCCACGACTCCTTTTATATCTATACAAATGCCTTCACACTGTAATAGCCTAATAAGTAATAACCTTTCCCAAAATCAATTATTTTTACTTTCTACAGTAGTTAAAAACTTGGATTTTACAGTGTAACTTAGATAGTAGATTTAGTTGACAGTGTATGTACATAAGATAACTAGTAAATTTACTAATTATTCTTTTTCTTTTGTCTTTTTCGTGGCCCAGCACTGGGTAATTGTTCTAAATTGTTTTTATCCATTTTAATTTTGTTTAGCCATTCTTGAGAAGCT